ATATTGAGTGAAACGAGTCAGGCAGAGAAAAAGAAATACCACATGTTCTCACTTATTGGTGGGAGCTAAAAAAAAATAAACAAATTAATTTACCCACAAACACACACAAAAAAAACTGGGGGTGGGGGGAGGGGAAGAAGATATAACAACCATACTTTTTTTTTTTGAAGTTGTTACAACAAGCAAAGGGAAAGGACATTCTTGGGGGGGATGGGAGAGAGGGAGGAGGGCGGGAGGTGTCGGTGATGGGCCATAATAATCATATATATTGTATATTGACAAAATAAAAATTAAAAAATTTAAAAAAAAAAAAACTATTACCCCGGAAAAAAAAAAAAAAGAGTTTTCATTTTCTATGAAAGCCAACCATATGATCAGGAATCCATATTTTCATATTGATTTTATGACAAACAGCAGTTAAGGATAGCCTACTAGTAGTAAAGTGGAATTGTTCTGGAACAAGCAGTCAGAATATTTTAATCCACTTCAGTTATGCCTGACACATAGTATATGAAAGTTTAAATGAGAGTGCCTATTGGTTATGCTTTTAACCAATCATACTGTCCACCTCATTTCTCGATTTCATTTTCAAAGCTCTCAGCGGAGCATACATACCAATGGCACTGTTCAGCATATATTCTTCTCTGAAGAAATCTTGAGCTATCTTCTGTTTTGCCTTTACAGCTTCTGAGATCGCTACAAAAAAAGAGGGAAGGAAGGAGTCAAAATCAAAAAAGGTGAATATTTTCAGTTTTCCCGTGAATATTGCCATACAAATTAAATGAAAAGTATGATAATCAAGCACAGGTGGAAGGGGAGACTCTAAAATAGCTTGTTAAAGTTTTGATGTTGCCCACACCATAGACACACCATAGTTAGTCACAAACCCACAGTCCAATGTCAAAGCTTCAGGGCAAAAATTCCTATTCTTACTTTCTATGTTTATTCCACAATGTTATACTTAAATTAAAAATTATAGGTTGCTACACACTGAATGTTCTACTGACTATTTTCTCTACCACCTGAATAAACATTTGCTAGACATTATACATACATACATAGCACACTTGTGTACAGTACTATAGAGTATTCCATCTAGTTAAATATTTCTGCCACATTCATTTCACCATGAAACATTTACTGAGCATCTACTATGTACCATATGCTGTTTTAGGTGCTGCAGATAGCAAAACAGCAATGTAAGATGGCTTCCCTGGAGTTCAGACTACTAAGAGAGATAGACTACTAAAACACACTTTTTGTGCTATGCCCACACTCTGAGAGCAGAGTATTCTGGGAATGGGAGCAGGAGATGTGTGATTAAAAGGCTTTCCAGAATAGGTAAGCCTGAGCCAAGTTGAAAAGATAGGTAGGAATTTCCTACAAAATGACAGAAGGAAAAGCTACAAGTAGAGGAAAGAGTGCCTACAAGGGCACAAAAGCAAGAAAGAAAAGAGTAATTTTTTAATCAAGTAGTTTTAAGACTAAAGAGAAATGGTAAAAGGTGAGGACAGAGAGGTAAATAAGACAGTAACATTCTTACTTATTAATAATATCAGTGGAAATGTAACTTCTCAAAGACATTGCTACCGCCTGACTTAATAAACATGTACTGAGTAAATATCTGCTGAATAATAAACACTATCTAATGGCTTCATTTCTATTGTAATCTCCTGTTATCCAGAGTTCACATCTCCTACCATTCTCCTATATTCCAGTCAATCTCAAGACTGCAATCAAAGTTTTCTCTTCCATATACCACAAGCTCATATGCCTTTCCTGTCTTTAAGTCCTAAGAGAATTATTAAAATACAAATTAAACATATTATACATACATGTTTCCTCTTTTACAGGAAAGCTCTGACTACAGATTTTTAGACTAACTCTGGAATTCTGACATATCTTCCATCAAAATGTTCCATATGTTCATTTCTTTTCCTGTTTTTAAAAGACAGATCTGATATCTACTTTTGTCATTCTGAGGTTTTCACTGATATATGCCTGAAAAAAGAACCTTATCTGTTGTCCTTTATTCAGTCCTTATTACTGCTTAACAATTCTAAAAGGAAAGGAGTGTAAATTATATTGCCTTTCGAATGAAACTTTTACCTCAAATATTCTCAGATTTCCTCCTAATCTTATTCTAATTTTTATTCTAATCAATTAGTTCCATATAAATTAAAATTAAATGACATTCACAATCTTTTTTTAAAATTTTCTGAGTGCCCACATAACTGTTTTAGACTATGATCTTTAAAGAAACTAAATTTCCTGGAACTGAAATTCGTTGTTTTATACATGTAAACTAGAGTAATTCTAGAATTTGTACCTATATTATCAAATACCAATATAAAATTAGGCCTATCTGCAGAAATAGCTCACAGTTAGAAGCTAAACGCAATACATAAGGCAATGCCCATCTGCAAACTGATGAGATCAAAGGCCCAACTCTAAAGGAAAGACTAATTCCAGGCTGAAAAACAATGTTTTAAAAATATTCATATTGTGCTTAAGAACAGGAACAAGACAAGGATGCCCACTCTCACCATTCCTATTTAATACAGTATTGGAACTACCAGCCAGAGCAACAAGGCAAGAGAAAGAAATAAAGGGCACTCAGATTGGAAACGATGAAGTCAGACTGTCCTTTTTTGCAGATGACATGATCCTATATGTAAAAAACCTAAAGACTATACAAAACAACTCTTAAAGCTGATAAACAATTTCAGTAAAGTTGCAGGATACAAAAATCAACACCCAAAAATCATTAGTGTTTTTATATTCCAATAATGAACTAGCAGAAAAAGAAAGCAAGAAAGCAAGCCCATTTACAATAATTACCAAAAAAATAAAATACCTAGGAATCGATTTAACCCAGGAGATGAAAGAGCTCTACAACAAGAACTACAAATCATTGCTGAAAGAAATTAAAGAGGACACAAAAAGATAGAAAGGCATTCCATGATCTTGGACTGAAAGAATTAACACTGTGAAAATGTCCATACTACCCAAAGTGATCTATAGATTCAATGCAATCCCCATCAAAATACCAATGACATTCTTCACAGAAATAGAAAAAACAATCCTAATATTCATATGGAATAATAAAAGACCCCAAATAGCCAAAGCAATCCAGAGCAAAAACAAAAAAGCTGGAGCATAACACTAGCTGACTACAAAGGTAAAGTAACCAAAACAGCATGGTACTGGCATAAAAACAGACATTCAGACTTATGGAACAGAATAGAGAACACAGCAATCAACCCACATACTTACTGCCAACTGATCTTTGGCAAAAGCAACAAGAACATACATTGGGGAAAAGACTGCTTCTTCAATAAATGGTGCTGAGAAAACTGGAAGTCCATACAGAAAAATGAAACCCATACCTCTCGCCATATATCAAAATCAACTCAAAATGGATTAAAGATTTACATATAAGACCTGAAACTATAAAACTCCTAAAGGAAAACATAGGGAAACACTTCAGGAAGTAGGACTGGGCAAAGACTTTATGAATAAGACCCCAAAAGCACAGGCAACAAAAGAAAAAATAAATGGGATTATATCAAACTAAAAACTTCTGAACAGTAAAAGAAACAATTAATAGAGCAAAAAGACAACCTATGCAAAATGGGAGAAAATATTTGCAAACTATGCATCTGACAAGAGATTAATATCCATAATATCCAAGGAACTCAAAACAACTAACTTAACAGTAAAAAAACAAGTAACCCGATTAAAAAATGGGCAAAAGAGCTGGACGGGTATTTCTCAAAGGAAGATACACAAATGGCCAAAAGACACATGAAACATACTCAACATCACCAAGCATCAGAGAAATGCAAATCAAAACTACACTGAGATATCATCTCACTCTAGTTAGACTGGCCATTATCACAGAGAGAAAAACAAATGCCGGCAAAGATGCAGAGAAAGGTGAACCCTCCTATACTGTTGGTAGGACTATAAATTAGTGTAGCCGTTATGAAAAACAGTATGGAGGTTTCTCAAACAACTACAGATAGCACTGCCATATGATCCAGCAATCCCATTGCTGGGTTAAGTCTTTACTTTTTTTTCTAAGTTAGCTTTATAAGAACATATTAGGGCTGGCTGATGGCTCACTTGAGAAAGCATGGTGTTGATAACTCCAAGGTTAAGGGTTTAGATACCCATACCAGCCAGCCACCAAAGAAAAAGGAAAAAAAAAAAAAAGACATACATACACACACACACACACACACATTTAAGAATGTATTAACTTTATAATAAAAAAAGTCTAAGAAGTAAAGCAAATTACAAATTACTACAAAAATTTGCCAATACTTTATCAGTTCGAGTGGAGGAAAAAGCATTTAGGTAAGGGGGAAAAAGTTTTTACCTCTGACATCACCCCCAGCACAGAAAGCCTTTCCTCCAGCTCCCTTTATAATGATCAAGAATGTTTCAGGATCTTGTTCCCACTTCTGTCCAAATGTAAAAGAAGATGGTATAAGCATATTATAAATACAAACTTATTAAAAATATATCCACATGTGCATATACATACACATTCAAATACGTCTGTGTGTGTGTGTGTGTGTGTGTGTAACCTCTTATAAAGCATAACTTGAAGAATGGATTCCATTACATTCTTCATTAAATAAAATTCATTTTCTTTTCTGAGATAAAGTAGAAGCTATTCCAACAAGGTTGCTAGCTTTGGATCATTTTGTGATCCAAATTTCATGATGGCATCTGAAATTTTTGCCATCATAACTTTGAGACCAAGATGAATAAACATGAGTTAATAATATTATGTTACATAAACATAAATTTGGTGAACAAATCAACCCAAAGATTGCTGATAAACAGAGCAATAAACTTTCTACTGTGGTAATACAGGACCCCATCCTACTGACAAATTTGTAAATAACAGAATGAAACCAATTATGATATTGATCAAATATACAAGTGATTTGAGGTTGGTAAGGACAGCTAATAAATAAGTAGAATGAAAGAATCAAGAGCCAAAGGAAATTCAAAAGGCTAAAACAATGGACCAAATGAAAACTTAATTAGAGACAGATTAATAGGGGTTCTATAAATTCTATACTGGAGAATAAAAATATAAATGCAAAGGAAGAGATTTAGCTGGACAGATTAATGTGCTACTGGACTACACTAATAGAAATATGTTATTTTAACATGGAAGCTTCTATTTTCTTCCACGCTGCTCCAACTCTATGCAACACTTGGCTTATTTCTATGTATCATACTTCAGGACATAAAAGGTACCCCAAACAGAAACACAAGAATGGAAGAGAGACTCATCAAATGAAGAATTAAGAACTGGTGGCCAGGGGAGAACTACCAGTATTTGTTCAACACCTACATGGCAGACTGTGTTACATACTTATATGAACTATTTCAGTTAATCTTTACAACCATCCTATGAAATATCGTTATCCCCATTTCACAGCTGCGGAGAGTGAGTCACAGAGAGATTAACTTTCCCATCCCACACAGTTAATAAGTAGAAATACAAGTTTCAAACCCAGTAAGTCCTGTTTTTCTGCTACCCCATGCAGTTCACTTATAAAAGTTTATGACTTTCTCCAAGAAAAGGCAGGCCAAACAGTTTAAAAACAGCTGTCTCCGGGCCAAACCCGTGGCTCACTCGGGAGAGTGCAGCGCTGGGAGCACTGAGGCCACGGGTTCGGATCCTATGTAGGGATGGCCGGTGCGCTCACTGGCTGAGCACGGTGCAGACGACACCAAGCCAAGGGTTCCGATCCCCTTACCAGTCACAAAACAAACAAACAAACAAAAAAAAAAAAACCCAGCTGTCTCCAAACCAAAAGGCTGTCATGTGGAAGGAGATTAGATTTGTACACTCATGCCCTAAGAGACAGAGCCAGTAAAATTGGTTAAAAGGTCAGAGAAACCGAGTGGCAGAACATAAGAAACCTGTAAGTAAATCAGAGCTACGTAAAAGTAGAAGAGGCTGTCTCAGGAGAAAATGAATTCCCCATCACCAGGGGTGCTCAAGAATAACTGCATAGGAAAATGAGGACTCAAGAATCAACTGGGCATGGGTGCGGATCCCATGGAGATCTGATTCTATGGGAGAATATATCAGAAATGGTCTATTACAATATAGTTTTAAAAGGATCCATATATTTGCTTTAAGAAAATTACAAACCTTTGGCCGGCCCGGTGGCGCACTGGATAGTGCGCCGCTTGGGAAGCGCGGCGGCGCTCCCGCCCGAGGGTTCGGATCCCACATACAGACCGGTTCCCGCTCACTGGCTGAGCGAGGCACGGGAGCAACGCCGAGGGTTGCAATCCCGTTGCCGGTCCCCAGTCCGGTACGGGGGCAACACTGAGGGTTGTGATCCGTTGCCGGACACGGAAAAAGACAAAAGACAAAAAAAAAAAAAAAGAAAAGAAAATTACAAACCTTTGGCCGGCCCGGTGGCGCACTGGATAGTGCGCCGCTTGGGAAGCGCGGCGGCGCTCCCGCCCGAGGGTTCGGATCCCACATACAGACCGGTTCCCGCTCACTGGCTGAGCGAGGCACGGGAGCAACGCCGAGGGTTGCAATCCCGTTGCCGGTCCCCAGTCCGGTACGGGGGCAACACTGAGGGTTGTGATCCGTTGCCGGACACGGAAAAAGACAAAAGACAAAAAAAAAAAAAAAGAAAAGAAAATTACAAACCTTTAGCTCTGAATAAATCTGCCTAATCATATTAAGAGTCAGTGCATTTAGTAACTTTGGTCTGTTCAGTGTAATCACTCCTGCACAACCTTTTCTTTCCAACAGTACGTCTCCTGTTGCATCTGTGTGCTTGGACATTCTCTGTGTAAAAAAAAAGAATAACTTTATGATAAATTCATTAAGTTTTTGCCACAGGCCAACATCAAAACATACACATCAAAGGCAAATCTTTCATGTTAATGGTAACTAAAGGAATGGATAATTATGTACATTTAACAAAAGTTTCTAAAGTTTAGACTCTGTAGGTGGACAATTCCAAAGAAAATTATACACACCTCCTAAATTTTTATTTTTTATTTGAGAAAATGGAGTCAACTGATTTAGAGTAGAGCCAAGTCCTAGAATTCCTTGGACTATGAAATATTCTTAAATCTTTTAATTTATTACTGTATATCAAGCTCTACGTTAGGTGCTAAGAAAGCAGAGAGAAACAAAACCTTGAAGCTCACATGGGAACAGTATGCAGTAAAAAACTGAAAGTCAGTTTAAACTGGAAAAATTTAACTGGAGAATGCCAATTAAAACTAAATAGCACACTTATTAGCTAAAATCTAGTAAAACCCAGAAGCCTATATTTTTACAGCATTAAGCAACATGTTCATGCAATTCTTAAGTTCTCCTTTATAGGGGCTGGCCTGTTAGCTCACTGGGTCAGAGAATGGTGCTAACAAAACCCAGGTCAAGAGTTCGGATCCCCGAACTGGGAGCTGCCAAAAAAAAAATTTTTTTTTTTAAATAAAAATAAAATAAATTCTCCTTTATAAAATCACATTGCATGTTTAAATTTTGGAGTTAATTTTTATTAAAATTCATTATCAGATAAAATAAAAATAATTTATATTCACTTAAAAATTTTACAGGAAAAGTGATTAAACAACAGAAAACGTTGCATCTTCAGCAACTTAAAACTATAACTAAAGCAACTTTTCACCAAATTGGCAAAGATCAAAAAATTTGACATCCTGTGATGTCCAGGGTGTGAATAAACAGACAGGCTGTGGAAGCATAAACTATTACAGAGCCTACAATCCAACAACACATTTTTAAAAGCACACACTCTGACACAATGACACCTGTTTCAGAAACGCACCCTAAAGATTACACTCACATATGGGCTAAACGAAATACATACAAAGTCAGTCACTGCAATGTCATTGGTAACGGTAAGAGACTGGAAATGACCTAAATGTTTAGCAATGGGAAACTAGTTAAATAAATTATGGTCATTCACACAAATGCATACTATGGAGTCTTTAAAAGAATGAGTAAGGTACCTCTCCATACACTGTTATGGAAACATCTCAAGTGCAGACAGTGTGTTTACTATGCTACTCCCTGTGTACATGGACACATACAAATTTATACACAGAATATATCTCTAGGTAGATACACAAGAAAATGCTAAAATGCTTGCTTCTAGAAAGGGAAACTGGGCATCTGAAGGACAAGGGTAGGACAGCCCCTTTGAACTCTATGAATGTTGTACCATACGTATATATTATCTATTCAAAACAATATTTTAAGAAATTTTTTTAAGAAGTGATAGATTGGGTTTAAAAGGTACTAAACTACATGACTTAGAAAACTGTATTTTAAGAAAAATCTGTGGTGAAAGAAAACTATACAAAAAAATCACAAAAGAAACCAGACTTCCAAATGCTTAATTTCTCTTTCTATAATGTTGACAAGATACATGAGCCAAGTTTACTGACCAGCTAAAGGAGAGCAAATCTAAATACAGATATAATCAAGGATACAAGGAACTATAATTTATGTTAATGAATGTAACTATAGTGACCACATAACTGAAAATGAATAACTTTTAAAATTAAGAGTGTTTACCACGGGAAAGTGTAAAACAGAAAGCAACTTGTCAATACATATGAGGAGTCTTTAAAATGTTCTTACTTTAAACAAATAATTCTACTTGAGAAATTTATCTTCAAGAAATAAGCCAAAATCTAGTGAAATATTTGTTAGATTATAATCTGCCTTAAAAATATATACTTATACCCAGAGAAGAATGGCTATATATATATGTCAAATTGCAAACAGTGATTTGGGTTCACCTTTGGTGACTTTCTGTATTTTTCAAATTTTCTACCATAAGCATAATAAATTTTTGATTACTCAAGTGTCTCTTAAAAAATACAAAAAATATGTTTCTATAATTTTTTATAATATCAAAAATACATAACACAGATTTAATTTATAATACATCCATATGAAAATACTGTACAGTTATTGGAAAACATCTGAATATTTAAAGGTGTACAACAAAATGTTCAAAATATGATGCTAAGTGAAAAAGAAAGGTCAAAAACAGCAAACACACGAGACAAAGATCAAAAGAAAATATACCAAAATGCTTAGTGATTAGACTTGGGTAGGATTATCGATTGTTTAAAATTTTCTTCTTTTAATATTTTGCTTTATTTCTAAATTTTCAGTGGTGATCTTTCACAGATTTTAAAAATAATTTTAATGTTGTTTTTAGAAATTATATCCATTTCACTACATGGCCTTGGTCACTTTGCAACTTTTCAGAAAATATTTTTTTTAAATGAGTGTGGCCAAATACAACCTTCAAATGACTTGGAGAAAGTTTTCATACTTAACATTAGACAAAGATTCTCTCCTTGACCAAACTCTAGTCAGGATCCTCTGAATCCTCTTTCTAATTAGGCCTTGACTTTTGGGCTTCATGTTTATCTCTGCACTGCACAATTTTACAAAGAATCAGTCCTACTAAGTCAGTTTAATCAGAATCTCCCACCCTTGATATCTGATCACCCCAAACACATGATCAGGTTCCCTCATCCTCTACCATGCCCCAGGTGACTGATGTCTGATCACCCCGTCTTGCCTTCAGCAAGAATCCGGTTAGGTCGGTTTATTCAGAATTCCCCCTTACCCTTGATGTTTCCTCTTAGTAATTTTCCATCCACCAAACCACACACACTTCCCCCCCACCCATCCTTGGCTATAAATTCCCATTTTTCCTTGTTATATTTGGAGTTGAACCCGATCTCTCTCCTCCTACTTCAAAACACCATTGCGGTGGTCCCTATACCATTAGGATGGTCCTGAATAAAGTCTCCCTTACTGTTCTTTGGCAAGTGCCATAAATAATAATTCTTTAACACACTGTTAAGAAGATTAGGTTAAAAGTGAATACCCACTAGTCAGTTTTGGATAGTGTTTCTGATCCCTGATAAGCCAGATAGCTAGAATATTAATAAAAATGTCTCATTGCTTAAAAGTTAGCAGATAAATTCTAACTCAGTTAAAGGAAACCTCTGCACATGGGTAATATCAGTCATGATTTTTTTATATTGACAGAAATACAGGAAAATTTCAGTCAAATAGAATAATTGGTATAACATTTCAAAGACAGCAGAATTAATATCTTTTCAATATCACTCAAATCCATTCTAATTCCACAGGACCAAGTCTGAAGTTCCCCCACCCCTTCCAAAAGGGAGAGATGCAGTCCCAGCTTAGGTAGTGCCATGAACTGTGGCCAGAACGAAGCCAAGAAATAAGTAATTTGCCAAGAAAAAAAGCAAGAAAAGCAAAGACCAAGCCAGGGCCAGAATGTGCATGCTGAGATATTTTGTTCCATGAACATCTGACTACACCAAACTTACATTTCTTGGAATCCCTCTTTCTGAATGATTATGAGTTAGAGTAGGTCAAAAGAGAAATCTATGTGAATTTTGGAAATGGAAGTGAGGCAGCAGCTATTACTCTCTCAAAGTGGTGGCAAGTTTCAGCTTGTCCTTCCTCACTCCTGCTCTATGTCCAACTCTCCCTGCCCAGGCCCAGCAGCAGACACAGACTCACCAACACCTCACCTTCCCACTCTCCAGATTTTCTTGCAAGTTCCTACTGGCTGGCCCACCTGTGCCAACAGATGAGTAGAAAGGACAGTGAAGAACTCTTCTGATCCTCCAACTCCCCCTTCCGGGAGCTTTCATAGCTTTCATCACTACTGTGGAACATCTTACACCTTATTCTCTTAATAAATCCTTTATTCCATAATATTCATAGTGGCTCTACTTCTCTGACTAAACTCTCATGTGAGAAGACAGATAATAGAATAAAAAGCCTATTTTTTCAGATACCTACATCATTCTAAATTATAAAAGTTTTCATATTACACAAAACATTAATAAATTTTGATCTCTCCTAATACAAACTAAATTTTTTTTCCCTTGAACCAAGCCAGATTTGCCAGCCAAGAAAAACAAATGTTTCATGGCTATTTTCACTGAACAACTTACATAAATTATAATACCAATACCAGAGACAATACTTTAAAACTCTATTATTTGGTTTCAGTCCAGAGATGTTGAGAGCTGGAAAGATGGTCCTTCTGACCCTAACAAGAAAAAAAGCTGAACAGACTGTAAATTAATGACTTTTGGTAAGCCCACCATCACAAAATGTGGAGATAGACAGGCACTTTCAGGGAGACGCAGGACCAGAATTCTTGGTTACCTGGGGCAGAAGCCATAGGAAGATTAATTAGAAATGCTGATGAACTGCTGGAAGTCAAGTGTGGGCAAGTGTGATAGTGTGAAGTTTCTGGGGTGGTCACAGTCATGGGGAGTTCCCACCCTCTTGCTGGCCTTTCCTCCTGGAACCCCACCAGGTTCTCCCAGGGAAGAATGGAAGATTAGCTGAGGAAGGAAAACAGCAACCACATCAAAATCCTCTCCCCCTTTTTCCCCACACAGAACAAAAGGCTTAATCTTCAGGCACAGGAAGGGAGACTTCAAAAACCCAGGGCCCTGGTGAAGTCCTCCTACAGTGGGGGAAGGGAATGGAGGCCTACAAAATAAAAGCCTTCCTCTCAAAGCAGAAGCACTTCAAAACCATAGCCTAAGGACCTTCATGTTTATCAACCACAGCTGGGCTTCCCTTTTCAGGAAGGGAGGTGGCAAAGGAAAAGAAAAAAATAGGGTAGCCTGTCCCTGGAGGGACAGGAACACTTGTGTGAAGGACACACTCCTGAGACTCAGATCCAAAGAGACTTCCAAACATTAAGGCTTACTTAGAAGTAGATAAGATGGCAC